ATAATACCCTGTAGGTCCATCCATGTTGTCACAAATGGCAAGATCTCATTCAGCACCTGACTTCCTGTACAGGTGTCTGTGAGGAATGACAACATTCTTTTCAACTCTGGGTGACAGACACCTAGCCTCACTTGCTTTCAGCTCTGTAGTGAAGCCTCAGGTGTTCTTAGTCATTGCTGGAGGGATGCTGGGCCCAGGTGCCTTTTACCTTCTGGAAAAGCCAGGTCTGTCTTTTTTTAACCTCTGATTAAGCCAGCCCTCTTCCCACCTTTCCTTGCACACCCTAGAGAAATAGTTCTGAGGTTTTGAAGCTCTCCCCTTGGATTGCCTAAGGCAGGTAGTGTCAGGCACAGTTAGATTTTGAGATTACTTTGGGCAGATGTTTTCCTCTTCTCAGAGTTTGGAAGTGAGAAGGCCAGTGAGGTACCAGCCTGTGGGAAAGGTTGAAGGTGGCGGGTCTTATTTATCAGGGAAAAGGGGCTTTTGGGAGTTAACATGCCTGCCTAGAGGGAGGAGCTGGAGGAGAAGGCCTCTGCCCGAGAATATCTCCCCCCACCTCCTTCCCCACTGCCCCACTGCAGGTCTCTGCATTTCAGACCCAGTGTTCTTTGGGTATAGCTTCTTCCAGCTTCATGGAGGACTTGACAGTAGGGCTAAGAACTTTCCTGTGCCTCCTTCTCTCTTCCCTCGTTTCCCTGACTTGATTTCTTTTCCCCCGTGCACCCCTTGCTTTTAGCCCACTCCAAACTGCTCAAAGGTAATCACTGGCCTGTGTGAGGCATTTTGGGCCCTAGGGGACTGTTCTAAACAGATGGAGCTGCCTGGTAAGGACCAGAGAAGGCAGGCTGGAAAAAATACTCCTGGGGTGTTAGTCCCCCTTGTCCTAAAACACCTAGGCCAGTGGATGTGAGTGGCAACCCTGGGGTTTAGGGTCTTAGCATTCTGCCCCTTCTAGTTGCTAATGACGGCCATAGCAAGATGTAGTTCCTGAAATGTATGTCACATGGTACTTTTCAAAATTTGGTAGAGCCACCTTAAGGGGGGGTGGGGAACCTTCCCATGAACTCACTGTTGATAGTTTCTATTGCAGTGTTGGTTAAATACACAAACCTAAAACCAGATATAACTTTTTCTAAGTTGATAGAGACCTATCCCCCAAATAGATGGTTTAAGTGCAAAGACATAAGAACAGCATGACACCACTAAAACAATTAAATGAGATGGATGATGCTGTTTTGCTGAAATGTGGTCTCGTCTGCTTTCAGCCCACTGTGGGCTCACTGCTGTTGCCCTGGGTTTTGGGAGTTGCACGGGCCTATAAATAGCCCTCCCTCCACTCCTCTCTGTGAAGTCTTTTGATTCAACACAAATCTGACCTCATTTAGCCTTCTCTTGGTTTGAATGCCTCATTTATGTCAACATTGTCTTCAATTGTCTTTTTCCACTAGTTTAAGATGAAGTAGGGGCATCGATAAAATTGTATATGCAAATGCAAACTTGGAATTTGGGCACACGATTTCAGTGCCCAAGAGACCAGAAAATAACCAATCCCTTTCTTAGGGATATTGGTCCGATTCAACTATTTATCAAGTGGCCACGAGGTGCTGAGGACAGTGCTGTGTACTTTAAATGTGTTATCTTCTCTCATTGCTATAAGTAAGTTGAGGATAATATGTGACTGTTTCATGAGGATTGACTAGGTAACAGGTGGTAGGCATCTAATAAATGTAAGCTCCATTGTTTACACTTCTGGATGCAGTTAGTGTTAGACTAGTTTACAGAGGAGGAAACAAACTCCCTGGGATTGTGACCCATCCAGGATAACACAGCTAGTAAGTAGCGGCACAGGGTCTGTTTCCACTCTGACAGTTGTCAGTACTGCAAATTTAAAATTGAGGATCTCCCACCCCTGACTGGGGTCAGGCATCATAAAATAAGTGTCTCTCAGTCTACTAAGAAACCTACCATCCACAGAAATGGCCATACTGTCCTAACAGCAAGGAGAAACCTAGTCTCCTACAGTCTGGTAACTCCCGGTGGCTTCTGGTCGGAGGGATTAGTATGTGTATGTGTGGGGGATTTTGCACAGACCTCTTCCTTTGCCTCTCTGGTATTCCTCCTTGTAGGGTTCTTGATATGTTTTCATGTCCCTGGTAATAGTGTCCCTTTATTACCATTTCATGTAGGGTGGAAGTCTTGGGATACAGGTGCTATAAGATAGGCAGATGGAAAGTACAAAACTTTGTTCTTCAGTTGAGTCTAAATCAAAGTAATTGACTAAATGAAATGGCCCTTGGTCTGGATGTGCTCTTGCTTCTGTGGCATTGGGGTCTATTAATCTCCATTTCCCTTCTCTTCTTCAAGAAACAAACTATATTTGGTCTGGCTCTTCTGGCCTTGTTTCTTCCATTAGGTGGTCCGATGCTCCAAGAAGCTTCTTGACATCCTGAGACCTAAGGTCTTCAACTCGGGAGCACTTCTTAAACATGTTTGTCTTCTCATTGGGAGTGTTGGTTGCAGTGCCTGGCAGGGGCTGCTTGCTGCTTTAAGCCTTTTCCAGATGATTTGGACCCTTAAATGTGGTCAGCTTAACTCCCATCTCTAAATGCTCCAGTTTACTGTGTAGGGGTGGGGGGCAGTGGTGGTGGTGCTGGGTCCAAGCATGCAGATGGCTTATCAAGTTGGTTTTCATACTGCATTTTGGAGACTTGATCACTGTGGAACAAGTTGTGCTTTAGTTTTCCTGGGATGTCATGTGAGAAAACAAGCTGATGAAAGTCTTGTTAGGCATGTAAGTGGTGTGCATGCTTCATGGTGATAGCTCTCCTTGGTGTTTGTGTTGCCTCTGAAAGGGAATCCTATAGAAGAAAAAGGGGGAGCATATATCCCCCCGTCTATGTTCTGACTCTGTTCTGGGGCTTTAGCCATGTTATCCTGAGGTAGTTTGCAACCTTTCAGCTAGGAAGTTGCGTTTTTGAAGCCCGAACCTGCTGATAGATGCACCACTAGCATTTGTTGATGAAGAAAATCCATACCCACACGTGGAGTTGTAAGAACTCCATGGCACCCAAATTGGAAGTACCTATTCCTGGTGCAGGACTTCCTCCAGGCTTTATCATTAAGAAGCTATATAACACTGGGCATGGTGCTGAAGTTTCCCTTTCCTTGTAAAAAACATGATGGGTTTTGAGAAACTAGGTCTCTACCATATTTAGTCCTTGGTGAGTCTATAAGGACAAAGCTCAGTTTCTACATCTAAATCTCCACTTCTATGCCACTTATACAGATTATTCAAGATCTTTGTGATATAAGATGGTAGTGCATGATGGGGTGAAAGGGATGGGTTTTCTGGTGAGTACCTCAGGCCTGCAGGGTCACTGCGGTGTTCTGATACAGAAACTGCTGCTGATCAAGTGGGTATCCTGAGGGAAATTGAAGTCCATAGGCTGACTAAGGCCTTATATCCCCAGTCTCTTCTTGCTGTATGATTTCCATCTCTGCTTGGAAGCAGAACTTTGTTCCACAAGAAGTTCTGAGGAAAGACTGGTCCCCTGTAGAAAGGGGAGGTTGCTAGATTGAACCTAGAGACCTTTATTTTTTAGCCTTTATCTTCTTGAGTCCAAATTATCTTATTGGAGTCAGCTGTTTTTCTGTCCTTTCTCCCCCACTTTCTCTTCTCCAGATATGAAGTCCCTAGGGGAGTGAACACAAGATACTGTATTGCCAGCAGTTTGCCCCCATTGGATAGGATAGGGTTGAGGGAGGACTTGAAAAATTGGGGGTGTTAGGGTGCAGTGTGATTTTTTTTTTTTAATTAGGTCGAGTCCTAATGAAAGTGGTGTTTCTGTAGTTCTAGGATGGAATGCTAGTAATCCTCAATGTTCATCCTAATATCTAGAATTCGATATGGCCACCATATTCCTATTCCCCATTAGGAAGCATAATCCCCTGGGGGAATCTTACTCATTCCAAGACATTCTTACCTGTATGTATAGGAGGATATGCATTTGTAGGGAGAAAGGGTCAAGACTGTAGTCCGTGTGATAGGGTTGAATTTCTACCTCGTTATTGGAGGTAGGGAGCCCTTTAGGGAAGTCTCCTATATTTTGATCCATTGGCCAACTCTCACCCATGGGTTTGTTTTATGGGTTTTGGGATTAGTACACTGTGGTTGGATTGGCATCTACCTCTAAAAAGTGGGTTTCAAAAACCTAGTGGTTGGAGCAGTGAGCAAGCCCTCCAACCTTGCCACAATCAGAAGTTCTGGCATCAAATTGCAGTTCAGCTTCTTAATATTTGGGCACACACTAGGTGGTTGATGGTGATGATATAAGAGAAGGCCCAAGGGGAATTGCTCTGCAGCCCTATTGGGGTTGGTTGCAGAAGGATCCCTGGAGGAGAGAGGCTTGGAAGCTGTGGCCACTGTTGTCCTGTCACCTTCAAGTCAACTTTGTTCAGAGTGTGGGGGATATTTTATACACCGTGGTATAAGATGGGATTGGTGATCTGGGGAGGTTTTCTTGTCCAACCCTGTTTGTTCCAGCGCCCTGCAGATTGAATGCCGGTGAGTGCATCTGCTCTGTCTTTTATGAGGTAATGTGCATAGCAGAGTATTTGAGGGAGGGGGGATGGGGAGGAGAGCCAGAGGGGCAGCTGTTGGAAAGGCCTCTGAGCAAGAAGCTGATTGCTGTGATTATATCAATGTGTTCTGATGTGGGAGCCTTTTTGGACACCTGAATAGAGCCAATTTTAGTTCAGTTTCTGTTGTGCTGGGATTAGTCTCCATCATGCTAAGTGTACCAGGAAAGGCGAGCTATTGGCAGAGTCCCTGAAGCCCCCAAACCCGATTTGCTCAGGAAAAGGACACAAATGTGGCCTTCTTGTGTGTGAGGGGCGTGTGTTTAAAGTTGCGGAAGCAATCTTGGGATCAATGACTCAGGGTTGGGAGCAGCTGGGCGATTTCCGTTTGCCACGTTGTTTCTGTTCCATTTAATTTCCAGGTGTCCTACATAGGCCAGGACTGCAGAGAAATTCCAGAGCACCTCGGCAGGGACTGTGGACATTTTGCAAAAAGGCTTGATCTGAGTTTTAACCTTCTGAGGTATGTACCCTTCACAAGATACAGACCAGGCTGGGAGGCCCAGTCCCCTTGGTAACAGCCTGCAGGTAAAAGTTCCCATCCAGCTCTGCATAGGGTGTGGGGCTCTGAGATGTGTGGAATCCGACCCCAAAAGTGTGACTATGCTTCAGATGATTCTTTGGTTAGCCTCTTTGTGCCACTGAAAAAGCTGTGTGTGGACATCCTCCACCTCACCTGAGGTCCTACAAGAGGACCGTCATTGTGTCCCTTTGTTCTTTTCCTTTCTCACTGATACCATGTAGAGGAGTTAGAATACTCTTGGGGAAGGAATGGGATGGAACCAGTAAGAGCATTTTGGGGTGCCCCATCTCCCGAAGATTTGCCAAATCACAGGTAGGGTGTATATATGCGTGCTTCTTTTTTTCTTTTTAAATGAATTGGAACCTCAAATATTTGTGATTTCTCCCCGATGACATCCAATCCCAGATGGAATTACTACTCCCAGAGTAATTCAAACACTGATGGCATGGGACGGGGGGAGGGGAACTCTAACAACTGCTTCAGTCTTGGCAAAAGCTAAGTGTGATCTTCTATATTATTCCATTGGAAAATGCAGATGGTTCCTTGATTTCTTCATAGAAGGTTACCACTTGGGACTGGTTTGGGGGCTTGGAAGAGGGAAGCGAGAGGAACTTGGAAAGCAGATATCAGGGAAATGAATAAATGAGCAGGGTTCAGGATGGTGGCTTTTCCTAATGAGCTGGTTCCATGCCGGATTTTTCTCATAAGTGTCCCCTTGAGAACTGTGCTGTCCTCTGAATGGAACAGACTGTTGTGGGGTGGAAGGCGAGAGGGGACTCGGGCACATTCATGCTTCCATGCTCTGGAGTCTTTCTCTCCCAGACTTGGAGTCCAGACACTTGGAATTGAGAATTTGAGAGAAGATGGACAAAACTCAGGTGATTAAGGCACCAGCGGGTTGAGGGGACTTTGAGCCAACAGAGCCTTTTGGGCTGGTACTCCCAGAGATGCACTGTCTTCAGGGAAGGGGCATCCAGGGTGTTAAGAAGAACGTGGACACTGTGTATATGCTCTCTCTGACTCCCAAAGGGTTTGTGTGCTTCTGGGAAGATGGGGGAACTGAAAAGTCACAAACTAACATGTAGTGATGAGAGGGTGCCAAAGAAAAAAAACTGACTCTAAAGATATTTAAGGATGATTTTTGGTCCCAGTACCCAAGGAGAAGACCAAGTACACAGCCTGGACATGTGTGCACCTTAAAAAGTTCCCCATTGCAGACTCTGGGAAAGCGTTTCTTTGGGCATTGGAGGGACTTCTTTCTGTGTGACTGGCTTCTAGAGGCTTGGGGTGTTGTGGCTCTGGCCACTGCCACCTTGCTGGTGGGAGCCTGGATGTGGGTTGGAGGAGGCTGTGCCCCATGAGGGAGCATGTCAGCAGGGACAGGTCATGGGACTGGGCTGTCAGGTCTAAGGAAACAGAGCTGTCTTTGTCAAACTCGGAGGCCCTGCCTTGCCTCCCTTTGGCAGAGAAGAGGCTGGACCCTGGGAGCGGTAGGGGTGTGTGGGTGTGGGTGTGTGTGTTGAGCAGGGTCAGCAGTGAGAAGGGGCTCTGAGGGTCTGGATCTATAAGGATTTATAGGAAATGACCATAGAGGCAGGGTAATCCAGTGAGAGGAAGTTTGGTAAAAACGATTTGGAAGGAGGGGAGTTGTGAATTTGATTCTCCTTTGTTGAGAAAATGTCTGTTGAGTTGAGGTGCTATTGCATTTGGTCAGGAGCCTATACTTGGCAGATGGTCAGTGCCATACTGGGGTATAACTGGATTGGGGCAGGGATGAGCAATGGAGGGGTGAGGTCTAAGTTTCAGGAAGAGTTTATGTGAGGACTTGGTTAAGCTGGAGGGACTTAGAGACCAGAATAGAGAAAAGCAGTCCTGATTTAATGTGGATGTGTTGGGGCTGGATCCTCTTTGTCTTGTTTACACAAGGGCGGGTGGGTTAGGGGATGCGACACTACCTTCTCTTGGGTGTTGGAGGAAGATGTGAGCTTATTCAAGCACTGGTCTCTATCTCTGTCTTCATCTGGATCAAAATAAAATATTTTAGATTCTTAATTTTTAAGTGTATTTATTGAGAGACAGACAGTCTAAGCCGGGGAGGGGCAGAAAGAGAACAAATGAACCCCAAGCAGACTCTGTGCTATTAGCATAGAGCCTGATGTGGGGCTTGAGCTCAGGAAACCATGAGATCATGACCTGATGTGAAACCACGAGTCAAAGGCTTAACCGACTGAGCCACCCAGGTACCCCATATTCTTGGCTAATTCTTAAAGTGGAGGAGGTGAGAGAAAAGGGGAAGGGAAAAAGAAAGATTGATGATAAACTTCTAAATAGGTATATAAAGAGGACCCAAAGCCCACCAGGCTGTAGGGCTCATCATATCCAAATGAAATAACGTGAGTCCCCATCACATTCTGTAGAAAGTTTCTCCCTAGCCCTGCCTTGCTGTTTGCATGGGATCTGGGGAGCGTACTACCTGGTCAGCTTGCCCGCACCTGGATTCACAATCACTCTCTGCTCTGTTGTCTGCTGTTTTACCTCTTGGCAGTCTATTCAAGATACTGCCCCCTCTCAAGACATTCCCTTCATTTCTCCCAAGCCCAATACAGCATTACTATGTGTAATATAGTAGTACTTTTACTACCAGTTCAAGGTATACTGGGGGGAGGTAGGTAGTATTGTAGCACATGGCAGGAGACAAGCTTGGGCTAGCATTGTTCCTGGAAAGCTTTTAGGTGCTCTGTTGCCAGAATTTTTCCCTGGTTGCAGCTCTCCTTCAGGTCAGGCTTCTTGCAGGTGACCAGGTGCCTATCCCAGCCTGTTTCTCACTTTTCCATGTCACTTACCCTCTTCATAGAGCTGCCCTCGGAAACCCAAAATTCTTTTTGCTTTGTTATATACAGAAAAATTATTGTCCTGTTCTTTAAAGAACATCTCTGCAGGCTTCACTCCCACCCCCCATCCAGATAATCCTATTACAGTATTGCCTTAAACAGAGCAATAACCCTAATACAAATTTTGCTACACCATAGGTCCCCAAATCAGCTGTAGTCCGCCTGTATTTTAGGCTATCGTTTGTTTTTAGGCAAGGAATTCTATTCATTTTCTTAATAGTTAATGTAGGCATGTGGCATAGGGTTTAGAAGGAGCAAACATGTAAACGGGGGTGAGGGGGTGGGGGGTTTGTGGTGGAATTCTTCACATGTAGTTACTTTAGCCTCCCAGTTCTCCTCTGCCCTGCTGTTTTTGATTTGGTCCCAGGGTTGTGGAATCTAGCCCTGTGCTGGGTGTGGAGCCTGCTTGAGATTCTCTGCTTCTTCCTCTGCCCCTCTCCCCCTGGCTTGTGTTCTTTCTCTAAAACAGAATAAAATAAAAACATGGTCAGTATAGGCATGTTAAACTCAGGTATGAGGAAACGCTCTTTCTTTCAAATCCCTGATAATCTTAGCACTGAAAGTCACCATTGCTGATGTTTTATTGTCTTCCAATCTTATTTATTTTTTTTTTAGAGAGATTTTTGAACTTTTTATTTTATTTTATTTTTTTTCAGTATATGAAGTTTATTGTCAAATTGGTTTCCATACAACACCCAGTGCTCATCCCGAAAGGTGACCTCCTCAATACCCATCACCCACCCTCCCCTCCCTCCCACCCCCATCAACCCTCAGTTTGTTCTCCGTTTTTAAGAGTCGCTTATGCTTTTGTCTTCCAATCTTATAATGCCAAATGTCTAAAAATGGTGGTGGTGTTTACCTTGTGTTGGAAGCATTTTCCTATCAATACTGCATTACAGTTTTTAAAGGCTTATTTCTTAGTGTTGGACATTTAGATTGTTTCCAGATTCTTACTATTAAAAATATCTCTATTCTTGTAGCACTCATGAATAGGTCTCTGACTAATTTCTTGGGACAAACTCCTAGAGACAGAATTGTCAGAGGGCTTTGACAAAGATGTCAGATTGCCCTTGAGAGGTTATACCAATTTCTGCTACGAAGACTATTTGAATACCTATTATCCCAAACTCTTCCTTGAGCTTGTTGTTGAGGTTTTCAGATTATATTTTTAGATCAATAAGGAGATCCTATGCTTTAGTCAGTGCTGGTTCCTTGATCTGCTCAAGGCAAAGATCTCTTGTTAATGAGTTGTTTCAGGTTTAGTTTCTCCTTTTCCCTGATGGGGAAAGGCTTGAGTTATCTCTGGTACTCATCCCACTCCCTGCAAGGGCCCTGAGTAGTTAGAGTGGGTTGCTCGCTGAGCTTGTTGAACACAGTGGGCAGAGCAGGGCTCGCATGGCAAATGGTGATAAATACACCTATGTCATTCTGGTAATAAAATTGAGAGGGTTTAATTGATGTATGGCAACAGGAATCTTAGGTTTTAAAAATTGTACTTGTGTCTTATTTAGCATCACTCTGATAAATGCACTCAATGGGAGAATTGCTTAGGAGAAAATGTCTCAGGTGGGAGATTGCTTGTTGCTTCCCTGACTTTGACCAGGATAAAAGTGAAAGACTGGGGAGTTGGGGAAGCTCCAGTACCGAAATGGTGGCTCTGTGCTCCCCATCTCCACCAAGGCAGTGAGGTGGACTCTCCACGGCACACTGTACGGGATTCGAGGACAGGCACACAACCGTTTCTGTGTCTGTTATGAACTGCTAGATTAAACTAGATCTGGTAACTTGATGCTAAATTGGGAAAATGGGCAGTGGAAATTAAAAAGAACCAACGCTTTGTGGTTCCACCACCCTGGCTTGAAATCCTCCTCTCGAATTACTCACCAGTTGTTTAACTGCCCTCAGGCTAATTGCAAAAATCCCGAGTGTGTAACTGTGTAAAGTGCCTAACAAATTACCTGGCACATAGTAGGTCTTCAATAAGCATAGCTACAGTTAGAACTAAAACGTGTTGGTGGGGAGGCTGAAAGCCTAGGCTTAACCCTCCAC